GCAGAGTGGAGCCCAAGGGCTTGGCATGCACCACACGTAGGCTTGCCCCAGATAGAGGCGTGCAAGCAGCAGCCAGACGGCGCAGTGCAGCATAACCAAGGGACAGATGGTTAGCAGAAAATACCAGTGTTTTCAAACGCACATCCTTTCCACACACCCTCTACATGAAAAATAGAAGTCTTAAATAACCACAACTTCTTTAGACCGCAAGTAACCCAAAGTGTTCCAGGTAAACCGAAAAACTATCGAAAAGACCGTGTTGTTCATGTTACAAAGTCGGGCATCTTCTAAACCCAAATCCACACAGGTACAGAACAGTGATTCCTGCCAAGGTTGATTTTGCAAGTCTGGAGATGTTTCTGACTGTCCCAACTACAGGAAGAAGGCTGTCCCTGGCATCCAATGGGGGAAGTCAGGCATGCACTCCCATGTGCCATCCTGCTCAGGTCCTGTGGCTATAGCCTAACAGTGCAACAAGGAGACAACTGGACTTCCACTAGTTGACGAGGCTGTGCCTGGCCACAAACCAACGGACCCAAGCACATGTACAACCTGCCTCCTGACCAGCAAACTGCTTCCTTGCTCCGTTAGTGCACAGAGCTTTTCCAGGTCCATTCTCCTGTCGTGGTAGCCGGGCATTTGCTATTTTCATTGGATAGGTGAAGATCTGGAACCAAAATCGTAATTTGCTCATCCACAGCAGTTGGGCTGTAGATTCACCATTCCCTCTCCAATCCCTGTGAGTAGGAAGCAAGCCAGGATTCAGAAGGCTCAGGAATTTAAAAAGCAATACAAACATTGCCACACAGCTAAGCTGGGGCTCTCAGGGGCACGCTTGGCTTAACACCACCTCCACTGAGAAAGGTCCAAGCCGTCACGGCAAGCCAGGCAGGCAAAGGTTAGAGCCAGGCTCATTACAGGCGAGTCAGGAGAAAGCCTGCAGGTTTTAGGGTTCTTCAGGTCTTAGGTAGAGAGGATGATACACCAAACTCATGCAACTCAATTACAGAATATTTGTTGTCACTTGAGCGAAGAACCTGCATGTTGAGCAATGTCCCCGTGGGTCATCCTCCAGTAGGTACATTAGGAACTGCTGGTTAGAATGTCCCCTTTTGGGGACTGAGGAAGCAAAGTACCAGGGAGCAAAGTACCAAGTACAGCAATTTCTGATCCACTAAACTGATCCCTAGAGTTAAGTCTGATCCCTGCCCAGTTAAGTCAGCAGTGCGAAGACCTGGGCATCTTCTGGGGTCCAGCGCACACCCACACTGAGACACCTGCCACCAGCCGCCGATTTCTGCTAACACGGCTTGCGACCTAAACACCATCTGCGAAGGATTCTCTTCAGCAACGTCCCAGGGCAGGAACTGCAGAATTCCATGTATTTCCCAAAAGATAGTTAGGACCTGTCCAGTCAGTCCCCACTGAGGGAAAGAACAGGATGTGGTGTTCACACCTAGCCCATGCTGCTGGCGTCCGCCCACCCCAGGGAGGGTCAGGAACAAGCATCTGCACTGCCTACTGAGAGCAAGACTGAAGGGGTATGTTGGTCCCAGCTGACAAGGGACAGAGTAGGTCTGGGTGACTCGGAAAGCAAGCGCAGATGATCTCAGGGAAGACACGTTTCCTACCGCTGCCTGAACAATGAAATGTGCCAAGTCTGACAGCTCTAGATCTGAACACTGTCATGAGAAAACACAGACTGACAGCTACGGGCACAGTAACCAACCGAAAAAAAAAAAAAAAAAGCTGCAAACAACCATCACAAGACTTAAGAAACTTAAGAGTTGCTCAGTTATCACAAAGATTACAAACATTCCCACACCCATCAGCCTTACCCTCCTACCCCTAACTAGGGGCATTCGAATCCATTACAGAGCCAGCTCCCAGCTTCAACTACAAGGGTTCTCAACCTTTGGAACACCGACATCTGGGACCAGAGAATTCCAAAGACTTTGTGGTGGGGATTCTCCTGCCCATCTCACATCATTGGGCAGGATCTCTGGTCTCTACACACCAGAGGTCAACAGGAATTCCACACTCTGGGGCTGTGGCCATGGCTTAAGTAGGCCGTCTCCATCTGTGGCACTGGCATCCCAAAGAGGGCACTGGTTCAAGTCCCAGTTGCTCCACTTCCCATCCAGTTGCCTGCTAATAGTCTGGGAAAGCAGTAGAGCATGGCTCCAGTCCTTGGTTTCCTGCCCCCGCGTGTGAGACCCAAAAGAAGCTCCTGGCTCCTGGCTTCAGATCAGTTAAGCTCCAGCTGTTGTGGCCACTTGGGAGTGAACCAGCAGATGGAAAATGGTTCTGTCTCTTTCCAGTAAAAAAAAAAGTCTGCCTTTCCAATAAAAAATATACCTTTTTAAAGATGCATTTTTTTAAGATTTATTTATTTTTATTACAAAGTCAAATATACAGAGAGGAGGAGAGACAGAGGAAGATCCTCCATGCGATGATTCACTCCCCAAGTGACTGTAGCGGCAGGTGCTACGCCGAACCGAAGCCGAGAACTAGGAACCTGTTCCAGGCTGCCCACGCTGGTGCAGGGTCCCAAAGGTTTGGGCCGTCCCCGGCTGCTTTGCCAGGCCACAGGCAGGGAGCCGGATGGGAAGTGAAGCTGCCAGGATTAGAACCGGCGTCTATATGGGATCCTGGCACGTTTAAGGCAAGGAGTTTAGCCACTAGGCCATGCCGCCAGACCCAAAAGATGTATTTATTCTTATTGGAAAGTCAGATTTATAGAGAGAAGGAAAGACAGAGAGAAAGATCCACTGGTTCACTCCCCAAGTGGTCACAATAGCCAGAGCTGAGACAATCTGAAGCCAGGAACCAGGAGCTTCCTCTGGGTCTCTCACATGGGCGCAGTGTCCCAAGGCTTTGGGCTGTCCTTGACTGTTTTCCCACGCCACAAGCAGGGAGCTGGATGGGAAGCAGAGCAGTCAGGATATGAACCAGCGCCCAAATGGGATCCCGCTGTGTGCAAGGTAAGGACTTTAGCTACTAGGCTACCATGCTTGGCTCATAAATAAATTAAAAAAAAAACTTACTAAGAAATAAATTTTGTACTCCAATAATTGCCTAATAAAAAAGTTTGGAAACATCAACAAATGTCCCTGGAGGTAAAATCCCTGCCCTTACCCAAGGGCCATGAGTCAGAGACCAAATGTGCTTCTCCATGTAGGTAACACAGAGGAAGTAAGTTATGTAAGACAAGTCACTTGCTCAACTGAAAAATGAAATAAATTCCTTCCTTTCCTCTGGCACCCAAAGCCCCTGCGAAGATAAGGTAGCCAGCGTCCCAAGGGACTTAAGTCAGCACAGCACTTCAACATTACGGAGGCATTACATGTACATTCCGGTACATGTACAACAGAAGGTTACTTAAGGTAATAGTCTATAAACTTTAAGCGTTTGGTGAATTTGGAAAAAAAAAGAGACAAATTAGCTAGGTGCGACACGTTGGCCTAGTGACTACTGAAGTCTTTGCTTTGCACACACTGGGATCCCATATGGGCGCTGGTTCTAATCCCAGCTGCTCCACTTTCCATCCAGCTCCCTGCTTGTGGCCTGGCAAAGCAGTCGGGGACGGCCCAAACCGTTAGGACCCTGCACCCATGTGGAGACCTGGAAGCGGCTCTGGCTCCTGGCTTCGGATCAGCTCAGCTCTGGCCATTGCGGCCGCCTGAGGAGTGAACCAGCAAATGGAAGATCCTTCTCTCTGTCTCTTCTCTGTAAAAATTTTCCTTTCCAATAAAAATAAATATATTTTAAAAAAAAAGGAAAAGAAAAATTTGCTAATTTTAACAGTAACAGGAAAGAAAAACATCTTTAAAGGCTGCTTCTCTGACCCCCAAAGACGTTTGTAAAGCCAGGCTGCACTAAGAAAGGAACGCAGGAAGCCCAGGCAGGACTTGCGGAGGTGTGAATATCAGTCCACAGTTCCAGCTGAGTGGCTGCCTGGGACATCTGCATGCGAGCACAGCAGAGGGAGGAGGACAAGGCCCCTGAGGGTGGCCCTGAGCCTAAAGAGCTCATTCCACACCAGCGAGCAGGGGACAGCAGCCAGCAGGACCAGAGCCCAGGAATGGAAACTCACCAGGGCAATTTGACCTTAAAAAGATCCAGCTAGAAAATTAGAAGACAATAGCCTAGAACTATGATGGTTAAAGGCAGTGTTTTAAAATTGCCCAAACAGGAGACATACAAATAAAAAACACTGTCACAATTTAAAAAAGGAAATGAACACACAGCATTAAAAAAAAAAACCACACAACTTCTTTGGAGTCCGTGATAACAATTTTACAGACCAATGAGCAAAGCCTATCAGCAGCCATTTCACAAAAAGTGGGCAATGATTCAGTGAAGAGACCTGCAAGCTCGTGCCAGCTCAAGAGTCTGATGGATGCGGCTCAACACCCTGGCAAGGGACTGGGCACCTCCTCTGTTCCTGAGCATGGCCCAAGCATGCGAACACTGGAACAAGAGACACAAATCCCTCTGGCAAGACACACTGCAAGCCACAATGGACCATGGCCTCCCTTTTAACTCAGCCAGTGCCGCATCTAGGGACGGAGGTAATGACACCAGTGAAGACCTCAAAGCTCAAAGCTCTTGCAGGGTCGGGATAGTGGAAAAATGGAACCTCACCTACACAGGACACAAGCACAGGAATGACAGAATCGGTCAAGGGCAAGCAACAGTTGTGGAATGTTATTTACCAAATAGAAAATAGGCAGGATAGGGAAAGAAACAGTATATCAAACATTCTCATAATTTTAATGGATATAGATAATACTTGAAGGAATCAGATTAAGATACTAATAATAAATGTGGAGGAATGAATTTTTTTTCAAAAAAATATTCTCTTCTCATTTTCTGGAAAGATGTGTTTCTTTTTATTTGAAAGCCTTGGAAGTTGAGACCACCGGCTCAGCCCTTTGCAGAGGTGCTCAGCCACTGCAGGGCTCTGAGAAACAAGGAATGGGCAGCAAGCCACTGACCTCATAGATGAAGTACACTTTGGCCCCCACGTATATTCCCATGCGCACCACCGCGCGGACAGCAGCGTTCATTCCTGCAGAAAGAACAGTAGCAGTCGTTAGTACAGAGCCCGGGAAAAACTGGTTCTGCTACGAATGTGCCCAGCGCTGGTAACCCCTGTGCCTCTCCCAGGCCCCAGTGCCTGGAGAGATGGGTTCTACACACTCTCCAGAACCACTGCGAGGTTCAGAAAGACAAAGCACGTGGAAACGCTGCGAGCGCGGGCATAGACCACAACACGCCCTGAGCAGCCCAGGGTACTTCTGATCCTGAACACCACTGCCTCCATGTGCAGGGCATTCCATCCAGTCACCATCCAACAGACAGGATAGGTCTTTATTTATGACTAGCCAATTCCAAGATGTTAATACTGAGATGAGTAATTGCGCTATGATCTGTGCAAGAAATAAAACATTATTTCAGGGCTTGACCTTGTGGGCTAGGAGGATAAAGCCCCTATCTACAATGCCTGCATCCTGTCTGGAAGCTAGTTCGGGTCCCAGATGCTCCTCTTCTGATGTAGTCCCTTGCTAATGACCTGTGTTGGAGCAAAATCCCTGGACACATGCCACCTGTACGGAAGACCAGGATGAGGCTCCTGGCTCACAACTGGGCCCTGATCCTTGGCATTTGTAGCCATTTGGGAAGTAAACCAGCAGATCAAAAGATCCTCCCCAATCAAATCTTTTAAATTAAAAAAAAAAATGAATCTTAGAAAAGAAAAACCATTTCATCACCAGCTACCAACGTAAAAATTAAAAATTTAGGAAACAGGAGCAGGCACTGTAGTATAGTAGATTAAGGCTCTGTCTACAGTACCAGCATCCCTTGCTGACACCCAGCAGTAAAACATCCCAGCAGTTTTACTTTCAGTCCGGCTCCCTATTAATGTGTCCGAGAAAGCAGCAGAGGATGGCCCAACACCTTGGGCTCCTGCACCCTCGCTCATGGCAGACCCAGAAGCTCCAGGCTACAGGCTTCAGGACCAGCCCAGCTCTAGCTTATACGGCAATTTGAGACGTGAACCAACAGATGAAAGATTTTTCTCTCTTTCTCTCTGTAAATCTGTCTTACAAATAAAACCAAAAAATTAGGCAAAGACTTTAAATAAAAAATAAATCCTGCAATTTTACTAGCTTAAAAAGTTAAAACTGGTATGAAACGAGGATATTTTTGACACTTCAGTTAAAAGAAACGAAGAGCGGGGTTCCGTGAGCAATCATCACGTAAGACCATTTAAACTCAAGACTGCTCTCCATTCAGAGTCCATCTGGGGGAGCTGGCACTGGCTTGAACAGGCCTGGAGCCATCATCTAGACTAAAAAGCTAAGATCAATCAGCAGAGGAGTGAAAGAGCATGAAGGATGAGACCAGAAAGCTGCAGGCCTGTGCCCTTCAAAGGCAGCGGCCCCAGAGTTTCCAGCTAATTGACTCCTAGACATCCATCACTTTCAACCTCCCTCCACGTCATGCTCAGAAATGAGTGTCAGAACTAAAGACATTAGGGGCAGTGGGGGACCAAGTGACACTTCTGGCAAATAAATTTTAAAAACTCTGGTCCTGTAGGAGTGTACCTCGGCAAACAAGGAGAGTGAATTTGTGTACATTCGAATGACAAACTGGCTCAGAAAGAGGGTTAAGCATCTTGACATAGAGGCAAGCATTGGGTTCAGCAGCTAAGACGCCCTCTGCGATGCCTATGCCCTACATCTGAGGGCTTGCTGGGAGTCCCAGGCCTCCTGCACATTTCCTCGTTAATGTGCATCCCAGGGGAGAGCAGGGGGATGGCCATGGTGCTTAGGTTCTTGGTAAACTTAGGAGACACCTGGTTGGAGCTGTAAGCTACTTGCTTTCTCCTGGCCCACTTCCTGGATGTTATGGACATTTGGGTAATGAAACAGAAGACGGATGGTAGCCCTCTCTGTCTCCCACCGTTTACGTAACACGGAAATAACATTTTTAAAAATCTTAAATTTTCTCATAGCAAGTTTGTAATGCAGGGGCTCTTCTATTACCTCAAAAATAACTCTGACTAGCAACTTCCATTTAGTTGAAAAACCTTTACGGTACTTGTCTTGCACATAAACATATGTTTAATCTCTTTCTACACACAAACACACACATAGTTTTACTACTTCATATTCAAACGTGGTTATTTACAACGAATTTTTATGACCTGCAGATTAATCAATAGCTCTTTCTCATGACTATCTTACTCAGTATTTCCAACTGCGACAAGTCCTATTTCTACCCTGATAATGGTCTCCACCCCCCTATTCTCTTTGCTGAGCAGCACAACTTTCTTTTCTGTGACTCAAACAGAAATGATGACTACTCTTGAAGCACCTGCCCATTATACTGGCCTCTCCCCCTGACACTTCCTTCTTTAATATCACCCAAGACACAGCCAGAATCATTTAAGCAGCTTTTCCCCTTTTGTTTCCATGCAGCTAATTACAGTACATTCTTGTTTCAAAAACCCACACATGTAAGATCTCCTTCACTGGAAAACATGCTATGGTGCTGCCTACGTCATTCTGATAGTTGCTTCTTCTTGCACTCAACAACAGGTCCGAGATGTTTCCTGTGTAAGTATCCATGTTGCTCCCCTGCCTCCCCGGGTTCAGTGGGAGGAAAGCCCAGCTCCTCGCGGAGAGCTCTCACGCCCCGTCATGGAAGCTCCCCTACCTGCTCTGTGGCACCCGGAGGCTCCCATGCTTGAACCTGTGCCCGCCCCACTCCATCGCTTGCTCATCTTCTCCTTCCAGGACAATTTCCCAACTTCTGCTTGACTCCTGCCTGCTCCTTGCCCGTAGCCCTGTGGTACACCGCCATACCTGTATGCCTACCTGGGCCACCTTCCAAGTGTGCTTCAACTCTTATGCTACATATCTTGCTTAAAAGCAGCCCTCCCTGGTTCCTGTTGACAGAACCGGAGGTTCCAGGGTTTTCTACTTGGACACTAACAGATAAAGTCAGCAGCAGACACTGACACCACACCAGCACCTGCAACTGAATGGCAAAAAGCACAACCAGTGCTTTGCTTGAGGCCCTTTCCCCTCTACATCCCCATCTTTCTTGGGGGGTGGCGGACGGTTTAAAACCGATTTATTTTTACTGGAAAGGTAGATCAGATTTACAGAGAGAAGTTCACACGGAAAGATCTTCCCATCTGATGGTTCACTCCTCAAATGGCCGCAACTGCCAGAGCTGAGCCAATCCACAACCAGGAGGCAGGAGCTTCCAGGTTTCCCACACAGGTGCAGTGTCCCAAGTCTGTGGACCAACCTCGACTGCTTTGCCAGGCCACAAGCAGGGAGCTGGATGGGAAGCAGAGCAGCCAGGATATGAACCAGTGCCCATATCAGGTTCCAGAACTTGTAAGCTTAAGGGAGGGGATATTGTGGCATCGTAGGGAAAGCCTCTGCCTGCAGCAATGGTAAGCTAAATGGGTTCTGGTTCATGTCTCAGCTGCTCCATTCTGATCCAGTTCCCTGCATATGACCTGGGAAAGCAGCAGAGGATGGCTCAAGTCTTTGGGCCTCATACCCGACTGAGAGAACATTCACAGCAGAACCCAGGCAGAAGTCTGCTGAGGGCCTGATCCTTCTTCCAGCAAGAGGAGACAGTGACAAGATAACTTGATTAGCCTAAAGCAATAAAATTTACAAATGCAATTTAAACCATTCTCTTGTTTTAACTGAAAATATGCCCTAATTCCTTCTGCTGCAATGACCAGATCTCAGATTCTCCAAAGGGTATTTTAACAGGAAAAAAAAAAATAAAAATCCTGCTGGGACCAGATTCTAATTTAGTTGCTGAGGTGTAAGCCTTGCTGACTTACTAAACTCTCCTGAATTAGTGCAAAACCAGGGCTCCTGCTTGGCATTGCAGGGTGAGGCTTGTGAAATGGGGTTCCGGGAAACTCCTAAGGTTAGCACTAGAGGACAAAAAACAAAGGGGGAAGAATGAAAACAAACCCAAGAAGGGCCAGTCTCCTTATTAACACGTCCTGCTTTTTCATTTTGCTCCAAGCTTTCCTTGGACTCTCAGTTTTCCTATGTTTCTTTATTCCCTTTTTTTTTTCCCAGATCTATTTTTATTTGAAAGGTAAAGTTAACAAAGAGAAGGAGAGAGAGTGAATCTTCTATTAGCTAGTTCACTCCCCAAATGCCTGCTTCGACCAGAGCTGGGCTGATCTGATGCCAGGAGTTTCCTTTGGGTCTCCCACAGGGGTCCAGAGGCCCAAAGACTTGAGCCATCCTCTGCTGCTTTCCCAGGTCATATGCAGGGAACTGGATCAGAATGGAGCAGCTGAGACATGAACCAGAACCCATTTAGCTTACCATTGCTGCAGACAGAGGCTTTCCCTACTATGCCACAATACCCCCCTTCCCTCCCTCCACCCCCTAGCACCAGGGCCTGAGTTTATCACTCCATACTCAGCCTACTGTGTTTATAGTTTAGGCATGGCTGTGTTCATCACTTTGCTTTCGTTTTGATAGCTTTACCTGGGAATCCAAACAAGGCTGGTTAAGTTTTTCTGTGCAAAAATATAATCCTGTTACAAAGCACGAATCTCAGTGCTTGAGAAGTCAATCTTCATAATTTGCAGAAACCCCAACTGAGACCTCAGAGAAGGTATGGTCTAGTTACGAGAACCAAAATGTGAGCCAGTTTTGAGCCAAGGAGGGAACAGGGAAGCGTTGGAGAGCACAGGTGAATGTGATTAGCGCATTGTCACTGTTTCTTACTGAACTGTCCTGCAGTTGAACTAGTAACTAACTGGACAGTGCCTTCCTGGAGGGCAGACAGCCGGCCACGGAGTCACAGCAGGGGGCCAGCCAGCAAGGACTGAGCCAAGCCTCTTCCATTGTTATTCTGGGGTGGAGGTTTGTTTATAAAGGCTTCCTGAAATTCTCTTCTGATTAAACTTAAATAGCCAGTGATTTTTTTTTAAAGGAACAAGGATTATACTGATTATAATAAAAGCAGGTGGATTCATTCTGGAATAATCCCTTTCCTCTTTACCAG